ATCGGGCTCGCCGTCCCTTCCTGGATGGTGACCGTTGCCTCTACATGACGATCGGCCTTATCATTGCCTCGTCATCATATCTCGGACATGCTCCTCAGCATCTTCGTCCTCACATCACGATCGGGCCCTTCGGCCACGACGTAATGCTTTATCTCAAGACCGGCTCCCTCAGCGCCGAGTGTCTTGATCTAGCGATTGGGCTTGCTATTCCCTTCCGGGATAGCAACCGTCGCCTCTACATGGCGATTGGCCTATCATTGCCTCGTCATCATACATTGGACCGGCTTATCATAGTCGTCATCCTCGCATCGCGGCCGGCCTCTCGGCCAAGGCGCGGTACCTTATATCAAGACTGATCATTGCATGGATTTTTGGGTCGGCCCCTCAGTGCCGATCATGGCAGGCCCTCGGCCTCGACGTGATCATATTCCCCAAGACCGGTCTCAGTCATTCCTTCATCGGATGGCGACCGTTGCTTGGACGTTTGGCTCAGCCTCATAGTGCTGACGACCTCGCATCACGATCGGCCCCCCGGCCTCGACGTGATGCCCTATCTCAACACCGGCTTTATCAGCGCCAAGTGTGTTGAGCTAGTGATCGGGCTCCCCATCCTTTCCTGGATGGTGACCGTCGCCTCTACATGACGACCGGCTCATCTCTGCCTCGTCATCATTATTCGGATCGGCTACCCGTTATCGCCATCCTTATATCACGACCGCCGCCCCGGCCTCGGCGTGATGATCTATCTCAACACCGGCTTCATCAGCGCCGAGTGTGTTGAGCTAGCGATCAAGCTCGCCATCCCTTCCTGGATGGTGACTATCGCCCCCACATGGCGACCGGCTTATCATCGCCTCGTCATTGTTATTTTGGATCGGCTCCTTATCACGGCCGTCCTCACATCACGATCGGCCCCTAGGCCACGATGTGATGTCCTATCTCCGAGACCGGCCTCTCATTGCCGAATGTCTTGGGTTAGCGATCGGGCTCGCCATCCCCTCCTGGATGGCGACCGTCGCCTATATATGATGATAGGCTCAGCATTGCCTCATCATCGTATCATCAGACAGGCGTCCCACGCCCCGTCCTCATGTTCAGACAGGCGTCCAACGCCTCGTCCTCATATTCAGACAGGCGTCCAACGCCTCGTCCTCATATTCAGACAGGCGTCCAACGCCTCGTCCGCATATATTCAGACAGGCGTCCAACGCCTCGTCCTCACATTCAGACAGGCGTCCAACGCCTCGTCCTCATATTCAGACAGGCGCCCAATGGCTCATCCTCATATTCAGACAGGCGTCCAACGCCTCGTCCTCATGTTCGGATCTAGCAAACATCTTGCGGTCTCCGGCTCAGAGACTAAAGGATCTCAGATCTCATCTATAGGCCCCTCGGCCACATCTTACTCTAGCATCTTTATTTGATGACGAAGGGCTCTCATACAGGCCCATCGGCCATATATCTTGCTTCGTCATCTTTATTTGATAACGAGAAGCTCATCTATAGGCCCCTCGGCCATATACCGCTCTGTCATCTTTATTTGATGACGAAGATCTCATCTACAGGCCCATCGGCCATATACCACTCTGTCATCTTTATTTGATGACGAAGAGCTCATCTACAGGCCCATCGGCCATATATTACTCTGTCATCTTTATTTGATGACGAAGAGCTCATCTACAGGCCCATCGGTCATATATTATTCTGTCATCTTTGTTTGATGACGAAGAGCTCATCTACAGGCCCATCGGCCACATATCGTTCTGTCATCTTTATTTGATGACGAGGAACTCATCTATAGGCCTCTGAGCCATATCTCGCCCCGTCGTCTTTATTTGACGACGTGGAGCTCTTATGCAGGCCCCTCGGCCACACATCGCCCCGTCGTCTTTATTTGACGACGTGGAGCTCTCATATATGCCTCTTGGCCACTACTCCCAGTCATCTTTATTTGATGATGTGGAGCTTATATCGGCCCCTCGGCCTTATATTCTGGTCATCTTTATTTGATGAACCAGACATCACATTATGGACGGTCGCTCGACCCATCCCTTAGTCATCTTTATTTGATGACTAGGACTACTGATCATGACGAGCTACCCACATCTAGAGATCGGCCTCGGCCATCCCCTCAGCAGACGGACACCGCTGCAGCTCCATCTCTAGGCCGAAGGCTCGCACCTTTTGCTTCGTTTTGGGGGCATCCGGTGTACTCTTTTTCCCTCATTAGGTTTTTTTCCCACAGGGTTTTTCCTAATGAGGTTTTTAACGAGGCATCTCCCCATTGTGGATCAAAAGGTGTCAACCCTCAGCCCCCTGTTGCAGACATCATCAGACATGCATTACTCTACTCCTCTTCACCTCGTTACACTCGCCTCAAGGAGTGGGGGACTGGGAGAGCGGGGGACTTAGCGCCTTCGCTACCAAAGAAGCAGAAATTCAAAATTTTTGCAAGGATTGCCACACACACCGACGACATCATCATATCACATACATATTCAGCTGCCACATCGGCCAGTACATATACATAGATCTCCGGCCTCAAGACCGGTGGTGATGGTCTCTGCTCTGCGACCTTCGACTGAGGATTCTCGCACAGGGTTGCCTCAGTCAGGGCTCGCCAATGGGATCGGATCATCGGCTTGGGAATCTAGGCGAGGCGCTTCGACGACGACAGCAGTTTACTCACCGGACGACGACATATCAGCACACAGTTCTACTCTCTTTCGCCTCGAGTACTCTCGACTCAGAGAGTGGGGGACTCCTGATAGAGTATATAGACTCGGACCCCCGGGTCTCACGACTATTGGGCCCGGACAGCGGCCCACATGCGCTCAGTGGATAGCATTTATCTCATTGTACACTCTATTTTATTCATGTATATCCATTAGAATAGATTAGATATCATTTATTAGCCATTTATTGGCCTTTTATTGTAACTGGGCCAGCCAGGCCCAAGCCTGGAAGCCCAGCCCTCTTTTCTCCTATAAATACTCCCTATGGGAGCCATGTAAAGGGGGGGATTGATTGGATGGTGGATTGGAATTCATTATACATATCACTTTATCTCTCTAGCTCTCCCTTCTCTCTAGATTAAATAATCTATCAACACGCATTTGCATGTAAGAGTATATTCGTAGTATAATTTTAAAAAAGTATTTATACTTATATATTGAGCGGGTCAGGATAGGGCGACACAGGTCAATACTAATACCCAGATCTATTTCATTGTATGGGCGGGGTGGGGCGGGCCCGCCCTATTTGCAAGATGAGCCGGACTTGACCCGCCCCAAATTTCTTGGGCCAGAACAGGTCATTGCGGGTCGGGTTTTTTGACATACCTACCAATGACCCTATCTTGCCTATTGGAAAGCTTACAATATTATATTTTATCATTATTTCATGTTTTAATTACCCGTTTAAGTGCCAAAAGAGAAGAAAGAATTTCCCAAGTCAATGAAATAAGAGAGGTATCGAATTCGGGTTCAGCTTCAATTCTTTCCTTTTCTTTCTCTCCATTTCCCTTTCATTTATTTTTTAGTTCCTATCTATATCTACATTTTTCTCTATCCTATTCATCAACTTACCTCACCTTTAATTTTCTCTCCTAAAGCTGCTTGCAATCCTTGGTTGAATAAGCCAAATCCATTCTATTCACCCCAAACAAGCATTGCAACCCATGTATTGTTGGGTGCAAAAGTGGGTGCTTGGCACCACCTGGGAAAAATTTCGGTGGGTACATTGACCCACCATTCCCACTGGCCGTTGGACAACAGAAGTAAGCCAACAGTTGCAGCAGTGTGGGTCCCATTAGTTAGCAGCATTTAGCAGGACTTTTGCACGGTTCAAATTAATCGGTGCTTTGGAAACTCCATTTTATTTGAAAGTAAGCTCATGTGTGCAAATTTTAATACCTACGAAAAAATATTTTTTTGCATCGAAATGTTTGACTTTTTAAATCATAGTGATGGTAAAAATTAATTTGTCATATGATTGATGTGTGGTAATGAAAGTAAGAACCTATACATTTTTTTAAAAAAATGTGTTGGGTGAATATATTGACGGTGCTGGGTTGCAGGGAAAAACTGATTGACTGAATGAATACGTATAAAAAGATGGGAAATTTGATTTATCGACTCTAAGGGGTTGCGTGAGCCTAATGGAACTCTCCGGTTACTGGAGAGAATAAAGGACAGAAAAAATATGTCTGAAGATTCTCCTTTATCTTCGTGTACTTCTGTTGCATAATATAACAACCCTTCATTTTATAGTAGCAATGCTATTTAATGATTCTACAAGTATTACTAGTAATGGTGAAAGAAACTGTGTATCGATTATTGATAATAAAGACAAAAAGTTTATGTTTCAATTATTATAAAGACAAAAACATTATGTGACCATTCTTGATTATAAAGACAAATACTTACTAGGCATCTTGATTATATAATTTACAAGCATCCTCGCAAAAAAAAATTAATAATTTACAAGCATGAATAAATCCCGCTTGTGTTGTAAAAAAAAAATCCCGCTGGTTTTTTCTTCTTGAGTTTCTTCTTGATGAATAAATACTTTCTTTCATTAATTATTTGTACGGTCCTTGAAAAAAAATGTATGGGTTGTCAATGCATAGCAACAAAGCGAAAGAACGCAGTAACGCACCAAGTAAACCTTAACTTATGACCTTATAAGCTAGTTAAGGACCAGGAGGAGTAGATAAGTGCTACAAGAACTAATTAAATCAAATTTGATGATCATATACAGTGAGGTGTTGCTCGAACAGAATGAACAGTTATTCATTTTTTTACAGAAGTTATTTACTTTATTACTCTGTAGTTTAGTAATTACATAAAATCTTTTTCTTTAAGGGATTTGACTTGTAAAAAACTCTCATATTTCTTGTAAGTGCTGTTTTTACAATTCTTGCAACTACATATTTCTTTGTAGCTCATTGAGTAAAACTTCAGTTTTATATCCCCTCTTTAAGCTACACGCCTACACACTAGTTAGAACTTAGAACTCAATAGAAATTGCGGAACCAAATGAAGAAGTATCACAAGGTGTTGCCAGATGGTAATTCCAAAAGGCCTTGGGGCATTGGAAGTTGGAACCCACTAGAAATGACCTGATTCCAGAAACAGACCAGTTTTCCACTTCACAACCGAAACCGGTTCAAAATTTATACTAGTTCCGCTTCTGAATCCGCCAAAATAGGACCAAACTTGTTCCAGTTCTGTTGTTTTCAATAAACTAAAACCCAGATAAAAATACAGTACAACTATTCTTACACTTGCAAGGAATTTTTGTTACAGAATCAACAAGTCCTACACTCCTACATCATATATATAGCTGATTAGTTGTCAATATAAACTTAAAGAAAGTCAACACTCGCTTGGAAGAGCATTCAAGAAATGATAGACCTCATCCTCGTCAATGACTCCAACCTTCGTTGAACACACTCCACAACACACGTGTTTAAACGTTTCACCTTTATCGGAAAGAGCAGAACCTGTCTGTGGTTTCCCATGGCCACCCTTCCTTTCCCTCTTTCGTTTACTTCCAAGCTGTGGTTCGTCTTCAATCTTACAATTGACCACAAACATTGCTCGGTATTGGGTCACAATCTTTTCATGCCTGCAAATCCCATGATACAAGATTTATTATTAACATTCATATACTATGTATATAGTTGTTATATTACAATAACAACACAAGCATAGACCACTCCTGTTAAGGTTAGGGATGTTATTCGTTGTTATAATTAGTTCCCTATCAGTATTAGTAAAATTAGTACGGAGTAGTAGTTAATCAATAGTTCAATACCAGTACTATTGTTACTCAACAGTTTAAGCCACACTCTTATTAGCCTTAAGTTTTAACCCAAAAAAACATTTAGTGGCTGTCAAGTAACTCGCCGAGTACTCAGTGAGTAACTCGAAATCACAGAACAGGCTGAGTCAGAGTGCTAAACAGAACAGCCAGCCCCGAGTTGCGACTATAAAACAGATATAAAGAACAGTTAAAAACCCTTCTCTCTCTCTCTCTTAAACATTGATCCTCAGTATTCTCCCATTCAGCCATTCTCAGCTTTACCTTCCCTCCGCTTGTTCATTCTCTAGCATGGAGAAGAGTCCTACCAAGGTCATGCAGTAGTGCTTACATCAATTTGGGAGACAAACAATTAAGTAAACCATATACTTATGTTACCTTACATTCTGTAAACTTATTACCTAAAGAGTAAACACAGGGGGTGAATGGGGGATGCTCTCAACCTTCAATCTCCTCAAATTGAAGAAGAGAACTCTCCACCTCTAAATGTTCCCACCATGAAAGACGAATGCACAAACGAAAAAACTTCCTAAAAGCAATCAAAGCGCTTAGAAAACGGACCTATAATAAGATTCATGTTACCCTTAAGATAATAAGAATTATTCTGATACAAAGATGTATTTGCCTATTCGAATTGGATCTTTTCATATTCTTGTACTTTGTTAAGAGCATCTGCTCACCTATGGAACATTACCCTCCCCAACATCATTAAATCAACACACCCTGGGCCTTTCACAATTGTGCTCCGATTAGTCTAAAATATTCCCAAGCTAAACTCTTTTAGGTTAACCTAATCCCTCTTAATTTGCTTTAAAAAATCCAAACATTAGTGTAATATTACATCAACATTGTAATCTAGTTACTTGAAACAAACGAGAGTATGCTAGGATTGTCCAGGTGATTGTTTCAAATTGCGAACAAGAAAGAACACTAGGATTAAAAATTACCTTTGGCAATCAAGACAAAGTATGGTGAAGCAAGCCGGGCAACTGAGTGTGGCATCAGAGGTACGGCCGCCTCTTTTCTTCTGAGCCCATGATTCGTCCTTGATGTCGAGGTCGGAGTCGTAAAACTCTGGCTTTACTGAGTAATCTATCTCCTCATCGTCAGAAACTGAGATCAAACATGGAGGCAATAAGCATATCAAGCATCAACTCTACCATAAACCATCTCCTGAAGACTATTCGAGTTTCAATAAAGAAATACATGAAAATCTCCGTAGTCCGTACCAGTTTTCTGAGAATCAGAAGGGGATGTTTCTCTCTCCGGTTCATTCTTCATTTGTGCGGCAACCGGCGAGTTGAGTTAAAACTTACAAGCAGCGATGATAAGTTGATAATCGCTTGTACAAGTAATTTTTAACACTGTTGATGTATGGCACGCTTGATAATCCGTATGTTGGACTGCGTGAGGGTGAGTATTGAGTTTTGACTTTTGACGTATTCTAAGCTATTCATTTTTTACTTATAATTTAGAAATTACTTTAAATAAGATTAAAACAATAGCAAAAACTCAAAATAAGACTTGCAATGTTTTTTATTCTAAAATAGGACCAGTGGTCCTATTGGAAACATACCTATTTCTTCCTTCCATTCTTACTCCTTCTTTAAATATTAGTAAAAGATAGCTAAAAGTTATAATTAAATGTTTAATTCATAATAAATCCGAAAAAAATTCAATAATTCGTAGAAAAATAATAAAAAACTAATAAAAATTTTATAAAATAAAAAATAAGAATTTTTTTTGTTTTTTTTAAATTAATAAAAAATAGTAAAACTCCATAAAAAATTAAAAAAATATGGATACCTTTCCCACCGCCTGTACTACTTCCCTGAACCACCACCTCCGATCGGTATAAAAAATGCCATTTTTTTTAAATTCCACAAAAATGACATATTTCTCTATGAGAATGCCAACATTTTCATTCTGTCAACTTGAATCCTTTTGACTTTTGCCAAAAATATTGCATTCATAATTTTTTGGCATTTTTTTACCCCGGTGACAGGAGGTGGTGGTACCGCCTCCCTGCACCATCACCTCCGACCGTTAAAAAAATGCCATATTTCCTACAAACTTCCATTTTTTTCGGAAAATGCCAAAAATATGGCATATTTCTCTTTGACAATGCCAACATTTTTTTCTGTCATCTTAAATCATTCTGAATTATGCCAAAAATATGGAATTCATAATAAATTTTGGCATTTTTCCCCAAATGACTAGAGGTGGTGGTGTTGGGGCGGCAGAGGCGGCGGTGACAAAAAAAGTTAATTTTTTTTTTTAAATTTTTTTTTAAATTTATTATTATTCAAAATATTTTTATTAATTTTTTGGTATAATTTACGAATTTTTATTATTTTTTATTATTTTATTATGAATTAAAACATTCCAATAGGTATAAGAGTATATTTGTCCAAGACACACATAATTAGTCCTATGGAAACATAATTTATTCAGAAATTGCCCTAAATAGGAGTAAAAACGTTTTGAAATTCCAAAATAGGAGTATCATGTTTTTTATTCCCTGAATAGGAGTAATCTGCCAAGTTTGGAAGAAAATGCCATGTTTAAATCCTTGTAATGCCCAAACTTGGCAGAAATTTACTCCTATTTAGGAAATAAAAAACATGATACTCCTATTTTGGAATTTCAAAACGTTTTTACTCCTATTTAGGGAATTCTCTCTAATTTATTTTTTTGTCCTATTTGTGCAAAGTGAATGACTTTTAGTCCTATTTTGATATACAAAGCTTGATATTTTAGCCTTATGTAAGAGATTTTTTTAAGTGCATATTTGTTTCGACATCCAATAAACTGTTGTGTTCCGTTGGACTTACGATGTTTTTATTTGGATTGTAATTTGTCCCAGATCAGACCAGATCAGATTAGACCAGACCAGATCAGATCAAACCAGATCAGACTAACAAATTACAGTCCAAGTAAAAACATCCTTAAAACATATACTACGAATGATTTTTCATAATCCTTATTTTTGTTTTAGCCTTTATTAAAGTGGTGATGAGTTAATCCTTTTTTACTACATATCGAAGTAGTATATGTTCCATTTATTAACTATAAGTTTATAAATCTTCACTAATATTTCTTGTTACTTTGAAAAGGAGTATTCAATTATAGATAAAAAAAATCATTTTGAGTTTGAAAAAAACTAAAGAATTATTACTAAATTTAGAATAGTGTTATGTGTTAAACATTGTTTTCTTTTGTCAAGATGCAAAACATATTTTCAAAGCACACCACGCTTAGACAATTGGACTAAACTGTTGGGATCCCTCCTTAATTGGAGAGGTTCTAGAAAATTCTATAGCTTTCTAGAGAGGTATAGAATTTTCTAGAATGTTCCGGAGAATCCTAGAGAAGTCTAGAACTCTCTAGAAGCTTGTAGAATAGTGTGGAATCCTCTAGAATATTCTAGAGATGTGTTGAAACTTTCGGAACCTTATGGAAGAGTATGGAAGGATATGGAAGAGAGTGGAAGAGTATAGAGACTCCTAGAGTGTGTGGAGAATCAATCTCCATCCTTGGATAGAAATCATCCCCACCATTCATTGTGAAGGTGGAGTAGTATAAATATGGATAGGAGCTTCATTCCTAATCATCCTAGCAAGAGAGAAGGCTAGACAGTTAGAGAGCCTCTTTGAGAGAGGAGAGTTAGCTTGGGAAGTTCCTATCCTCAAGCTTGAGTGAGCCACCATTGAGTGAGACAATTTTGTAACATTCTTGTAAATCCTACTATTCTTTTGTATAGTGGAAGAATCTCCATATTGGAGAATTTAAATCGTGTGCTCCCATTTCTACCTTATTTCCTAAGTGCCTATCTTAACTTCATGAAGCGGGAAAGTTCAGAGTTTTTTCCAACAGTGGTATCAGAGCCAGGTTTATCTGAGATCGTCATCAGCTCGTGCAGTTCAAGATGGAGGATAACGTTGCTCATGATGGAGACATGTTCAAGCTCACCGCCAACAACTACTCATATTGGAAGCCGATGACGGAAGATCATTTATACTGTAAGGTTTTGCATGAGCCCATCATCTATAAAGAGAAGGTTGAGGGAAAGAGTGATGCTCAGTGGGAGCTACTGAATTGGAAGGCAGTTGCTATGATCCGTAAGTACATCGACAAATCTCTCTTCGAGCATGTTTTTACTAACACGAATGCTTATGAATTATGGACTAAACTTGAGTCCATGATTCAAAAGAAAACACCTCGTAATAAGGCCAATTTAGTTCGACGGTTGAAGTTGGAGTATAAGGATGGTCATAGTATGATTGAACACTTGAACAACTTCAAGGGGCTCGTAAATCAATTAACCAAAATTGAGATGAAGATTGATGACGAGCTGCAAGCCCTTCTACTCCTTAGTTCCTTGCCGGAAAGTTGGGATACTCTTATAGTTACACTTAGTAACTCAGCTCTGGAAGGAAAGCTCACCATGGATGCCGTTAGTGATAGCCTTCTCGGTGAAGAAGCAAGGAGAATGGAACGAGGTGAGTCTATCCATCCCGAGGCTAATATAATTGAGAACCGGGGTAGGAATTCGCATGAGACTCGTGGACGTAGTAAGAGCCGAGATCCGCATCAATCTCGAAGAAGGTCCAAGTCACGCTCGAAGATCACATGCTACTACTGTGGAAGAATGGGCCACATGAAAATGGAGTGTCGATCCTTCAAGAGAGACCAAAAGGCCGGTAATGTCAAGCCAGACCAAGTCAACCCAACGAAGAAGCAAGAAGAGAAGAGTACCACTACCGTAGTCGCAAAAGAAGATCTGTTATACCTCGTTGGAGAAGGTAATATCCTCAACATTTCTTGTGATGATAGTTCTTGGATTATCGATTCTGGTGCTTCCTTCCATGTCACTCCCCATGAAAGTTTCTTCTCATCCTACCAAAGCGGTGACTTTGGCACGGTTCAAATGGGAAACCAAGATAGAAGCAAGATCATTGGGATAGGAGACAGCGTCCTAACAACTAGCACCAGATGCAAGCTTGTTCTCAAAGATGTGAGGCATGTCCCGACCATGCGCCTTAATCTTATCTCCGCTGGAAAATTAGATGATGCTGGTCTAATGAACTACTTTGGTGAAGGAAAGTGGAAGCTCACCAAAGGAAATCTAATCATGGCTCGAGGAAAGAAGGAAGGGTCATTATATGTGATGCAAGTCAAGCTCTGCAAAGGAGAGGTAAACGTAACCACTGATGACATGGAGGTATGGCATAAACGACTTGGGCACATCAGTGAGAAAGGTCTTCACATACTTGCTCGGAAGCATCTCCTCCCGGACATGAAAGGTAATTCACTCGATCCTTGTGTACATTGTTTAGCTGGAAAACAAAACAGGGTTGCTTTCCAAAGATCTTCTCCACCCACAAGGAGAAAGAACATTCTCGACCTTGTACACACCGATATGTGCTCAATGTCCGAGAGATCGATCCATTGGTGGTGCATTGTACTTTTTGACCTTTATTGACGATCATTCAAGGAAGGTATGGTTGCACCTGTTAAAATCAAAGGATCAAGTGCTTGACACCTTCAAGGAATTCCACGCTCTAGTAGAACGTGAGACCAGCCGGAAGATCAAGTGTGTACGGTCGAACAATGGAGGTGAGTATAGAGGTCCCTTTGAAGCCTATTGCAAGAAATATGGCATTAGGCTAGAGAAGACTCCACCCAAGACACCACAATTAAATGGTTTAGCAGAGAGAATGAATAGAACAATTGAAGAAAGAGTTCGATGCGTGCTCTCTCATGCTAAGTTACCCAAATCATTTTGGGGGGAAGCTATAATGGCCGTAGTTGACATTGTCAACCTCACACCATCGGTCCCTTTGAACGGCGCCATCCTAGAGGAAGTCTAAATGGGCAAATGGGCTTCATAGAATCATCTTAAGGTGTTCGGGTGCAGAGCATTTGTTCACATTCCCAAGGATGAGCGAGCAAAGTTTGATGCAAAGACAAAGGAGTGTATCTACCTTCGCTCACCCAAGGACGAATTTGGTTATCGGCTATGGGATCCAATCAATAAGAAGGTTGTTCGTAGCAGAGATGTCATCTTCTTCGAAGACCAAACGATTGAAGATATTAAAAACTCGGAGAAACCAAGATTGAGAAGCAACAAGAGGACCGAACCAACTCCAGTTCGACGCGAGGATGAAACACCTCAAGATAATATGATGAAAACCATGAGCAAAGCAACCAAGAGACTCATGATGAATCACATCAGGAAGATCCTCAATCTAGTTCTCTGCCAGCACCAGAGCCGAGGCGATCCTCTAGGGAGAGAAGACCATCCATCCGGTATAACACCGAAGATTACATTACACTCACAGATGAGGGGGAGCCGCAAAGTTACAAAAAAGCAATCAATGATATTCATAAA